AACGCTGATATAAATTATATAGTGAATCTGCTTAAAATAAACATAGCCTCCAGCCGTTGGCAAAGTGGGTTCGAGTTTTGTAAACTCTCATGAGTTCGAAGCTGCGCACTTTGTTGCTGTAGGGAAAGAAAACTACAATGTTTTAGTTGTTTTAACATAATCTAAAATCTGAAAATTATATTTTAAAAGTATTTGTTCTAAGAACGTATTTTAACTTTTTTCTTTGTACATTTACTTCTTCGCATATTGAACCCACTTGATGAAAATTTTGAGTCCGCCACCAAAAGCGTTACAATAAGCTGAATAAATGATAAAGTTTAATTACTGCAGTCTTTCAATTTGGAGTTGCTTTTATTTCCTTTCTATCAAACCATTGTAATAGAAATAATCTCTTTTTTTTTCATATATAACATTCTTCATGAAGGTTGTCAATGCAAAAGCCACATTATTTTTTTAGAATGTGAATTTATTCCTTTAATTTTTTTCCCTTTTTGGTTGTGTTTGTACTCTTCCTCGTGGTTCATATAATTTCTTATATTGTAACATTGTTGCCCCTCTATGGCAACATTTCAATTTCCCCCTACCTATAGGCTCCTTTCAAAATTGGATACGGGATTTATGCACTTCCCCAGGCAACCCACCAATTACTTCCACAATTAATGTGCCGCTACCATTCTCACCCCAATCATCCTAATATGGCACATTTGGACTACCCGTAATAATAATGTCTTTAATCGTACAAAAAAACCATATCGCCATCATCAATCAGGCTACTCAATTTTATTATTTACTCACTCCTATCTATAATAAATGACTAATTTGTCTTTTTATTTTGATCCAAAATAAGCGTCTATTTATATAATCAAGAAAAAATTCAATTTGTTTTTCCAAAATTAACCTTTTGTACGTATCCCTAAAAATCTTTTGCTCCTCACATTAAATTATGCTGCAACATTTAATTAAGAGTAGTTTAGTCACACTAACTTATTTTGTCTAGAATTTAGTATTTCCGCAACCACCACCAACCGATTACCTTAAATTGAATATTGATGGCACATTTACTGGATGTTCCCATCACGGAGGAGCAGCTAGATTTTTCCATGATGCTTCAGGTTTTTGGATATATGGCTATACAAAGTGTTTGACCAAAAAAGGTGTTAAACCTTTTAGTTAAACCAATTAATGATGAATTAAATGGCGAATTTTAATCGAACTTAATAAATTCTAGACCGAATACAACAGAATACTTGTAAGATAAGTGGTGCTCAAGAGCATTAAATAACAGATTTAATACTCAATGATTGGCAATGAATATGATAGCATGAATGTGTAATAAATATTGATAATGACAATAAGTATAATAAGAAAGGATCTACTACCCAATTATTGTATGATTGGAATGTTCCTTTCCCCAGTCAACAACGATGTGGAAAAGAGAGATGAAGAAGGATGCGGAATCTTTGGGTTTTGTGAACAAAAATTGAACAACTTGGGCTTGAACAAATCAATGAATAAGACAACTTTTGCTTTTGTCAGCCTTTACAATATGTTCTTATCAAAAAGTGAAGATGCCTCTTTTGTTCTCTATCTCTTCCTATTTATAAGGGATATTCTCCAAAAACCCTAAAAAAATACAGCATAAAGAATATCCAAAAAGATATTATTTACGTCCACTTCTGAATCTATGCTACCGTTATTTTTTTATCTCGGCTGCTCATTTTTGGCACCAGTCTTTGTGAGTGTAATCTTCAGTCGTTATATCATGGTCAACCCTGTCCTTTGTCTTACTTATCTGTTTCCTTCGAGTCGCCAAATTTGGACCTATACACAAAGCACCTACTCCACACTGATATTTTGCAAGCTGAATTATTAGCCTTATACCATGGTCTCAACCTAACGATAGCTTGAACCTCAAACCATTACAAGTAGAAACTGACTCCGTAAGTATTAATCACATGGGTCCTTAAAATACTCACATTTAATTACAGTGTGCAGGTTGATGCTCCGTGACCTTCAGGTGACTACACTCTAACACACATTCAGGGAAGATAATGACGTGGCAGATGTTTTGGCAAAGTTTGAAGACACTTAGTGATCCACAGACTACTGATGTTTTACTTTTGGCAAATCCCCCTACTTTTACTGTATTGCCTTTAGCTTTTATATATATATATATCAGTGCACTATGGCATTTGGCAAGTGTGGTGTCTATTCTTGAGCCTATTTATGGCATAGGAGCCACGAAGAAAAAGAGTTTTAGATAAGTAAAGGAAGAAAGTGCAATCTGGCCTTAAAATTTTTATGGCTTCAATCAAGATGCATGTGCATTGAGGTACTAGATTGCTAAAAGTGATCTCTTAGTTTTTGCTACTAAAACATGTCTTCCTTTTTCTCTTAGTAGAATCTTTTCCTTAACCTTAATATTAAATCTTCTTATTTTTTGCCCTTCAAATAATTGTTGAAGGGGAAGACTTTAGACATTAGTTAATTTGTCTATTCCAGTATAACTTAGAATTATTTTAGTTGATTAAAAATGAATAACATTCATTATTTTTAGAAACTTGAATACTTTTTAATATTTTATTTATAATTTAGACACATTTTTTTTAGTTAAAAGAAAAAATAATAGAGTTATTTGTAGTGCGTATAACAATAGAAAATATCAATTAAAAAAGAAGAAATTCTCTTTATTTTCTACTACAATATAAATTCCTGGCATGACCAAAAGATTCCTGCAATATAGGATCTAAATTAGACGTACTAAAATGACTAAATCATAATCGGAACTAAAAATCTTTTATAATTGATTATCATTATAAAAATCTTTCTCTTTCATTGTGCCCTAGGTTTGAATGATTTAAAGAGATTGTAGGTTTTCTTAAGATTGCTTTTTTTCATGTAGTTTTAATCTACCTTGTCACCTTTTGATACCTCCGTAGTTTTAATATAAACTATAAGCGGAGGAAATGTAGACAATCTCCAAAATATAAAAAGACATTTACCACGTATAATTGTGGTGGGGTGGTAACTGGTAAGTACACTTTCATCATTAATCAGAAGTTTAGATTCGAGTTTTGATAGTCATTTTTGATAGAGAATATTCTGCCTTCTAAAGTGGGGCTTTCTGATAAGAATTCGGATTATTCAAGTTCTAAAGCAGGTACCAAATAAAATAAAATGTATACATCACAAGCTCACTTTAGCCCGTTGTTTTTCGCTCTCCCTTTGACTACCTACATCTTCCTATAGTGGATTTCTCTTCTTCTTCTTTTTTCTCTCTCCTTTCTTTATATCCTTCTCTGGGGAGCCTTGGCGTAATTGGTAAAGTTGTTGTCATGTGACCAGGAGGTCATGAGTTCGAGCCGTGGAAACAGCCTCTTACAGAAATACAGAGTAAGGTTGCGTACGATAGGCCTTGTGATCTGACCCTTCCTCGGACCCCGCACATAGCGGGAGCTTAATGCACTGGGCTGCCCTTTTTTTAGGAATTTTTACCTTTTATAGCAAAATATCTATTTTTGGTTACCTCCTCCCTTTAAGCCACTATATACGCTATTTTTTTATTTTTCTCTCTTCTTTTTCACATTTTTCTCTCACATAATTACCGTATTTGATGTAAACTTCTCACTCCACGTTCTCTCTCTCTAATTTGATACACTACATCCTCTTCCCCCATTCTAGAAAACACGAAAAAAGAGGGTAAAATTCTTCTGTTAGCATTTGATAAAATAATTGCTACTGCATTTGATTGATTTACTCAACTTTGGGCTTCTGATTCTGTAAGCTATGATTTCCAGAAAATAAACTGCTATTGGAATTTTAAACGGATGAGAAACGCCGCCTGTGACAACAATGCCAATGGAATCCTTGGTACGATTTTCAGGAGGTGATTACTTCAGCAGCGCTTCATCTTTTCCGGCGAAGATTTTTGGGTTGCCGAGCAATCATCCGATTTAGAAACTTTCTCCGGTGTAACAACGGCAACCGGAGGCAACGGTGACGGCGAGACGACATCAGGGTTGTTCTTGAACAAAGACGGTGGAGTTTGGGGCTGAGCAACTTGAATTTTCTGTTAATATATTTCAATGTATTCATTGTCTTTTTTTCATTGTATTTCAATGTATCCCGCTGTATTCTATGTATTTCATTGTATTCATTGTCTCGCTATATTCCATGAATGTATTCATATATTTTTTTAATTAATATAATTTATGTATTCAGATGTATTGTATAATTTCTCTAAAGATTGCTATGTTTTTGGGGTGTTTTTCAGTTGAGAATCTTTTTTATAACTGGAAATATAAAATTTGTGTGTTATAATTGAGTTTGTTGAATTATATTAGGAGTCTATTATGTTAATTGATTCACTTTCCGTTTAAAAACAGTGTAATCTCCTATTTCACGCCGTAAATACAGTCGAATACAATAATATGTCCAGCTATAATCCCCTGATTCACGCCTAGAAATGCTACTATATTCATGAATACAGTAGCTTAAATACATCGAATACACTCTAAAAAATCTAAAAATATAGCTATAGAAAGTAATATAGTAAATGGTAGCTATAACTAGCTAATAACCATTACAACATAGTGGTTTCTGAAAGTTTCTCTTTTTTTTATATGTGCATATAAGAAATATTATTTTTATATTACTAGGTATTAAGAAGTTACCTTGTAAACTATCACTTCCCCTTGAGAATTGGGGAGTAAAATTAGTCCCCCTCAATCACACTCAGCTAACCAAGTAATTACTTGATCAGACAAATAGACAAACAATATAATTACACTCAACACCCGCATCCAATCACAAAGTGACTTTCCAAGCATGCTCTTATTTTTTTCTCTTTTTTCTTCCTGTCATCATCAGTCCCTAGATACACAAGAACATAGTTTTTTAAGCTCTGCTTTAATTCGCCAGGTGAATTTGGCACTTATATAAATTTAAAGACAAAAGTGTGCATCCACTAAAATGAAGGAATATTTGACAGGAAACACTACTTGAATGAAGATATCAATGATTCAACAAGAACCCGCTAAGGGCATGGATATTGAGAGCAATATCCGAGTCAAGGCATCAAAAAGGAATTCGTTTAAAAGGATTTTACAATGCTAAAGAAATTTCACAGCCAATAAACCTACAAGTACTTTCTGGGAAGGCATCTTACTGGTTGAAGTTAGCAATGACTGCAGACGCAGGCCACATTTCAAGACGATAAAGTAGACTAAATATTGAAAGAAAAGAAGTTTCTAGCAATCATATATGCCAACCCCCTATCGCACAACAGAAATTTAAGGATACAGACTATATCATAGAGTAAAATGACAACTACTCTCGGAACTCTGATTCTTACACCTCATTCAGATTTTGAGCTGGAAAGATGCGAAGGTATTAACAAGACATTGTGAGACATGGTTCGAACACCGTGAGACACGGTTCTTTAGGACACCTTCTTGCTATCAGAGCGTGACAATGTACGATCTAGTGATTGCAATTGAGAACGAAGATTTTGGTTTTCCTCAAGTAAGCGGTCATATTCAAGAAGAAATCCTTCGGACTGCTTTTTTAGAGCAACGGCATTGGCTTCAGCACCGCTTGCTTCTTTGGCCTTCACCTGCAGTTCTGACTCTAGCTGTTTAATTTTTCCACGCAATGCACTTGCCTCTTCCTCCAAAGTTTTGATCTCCTCAGAAGCTCCACTTTTTCCATCCTCAAAGGCTCTGTTTTGCTTTCTCACAGCTTCCATTGTCTTCCTCCTCATACTAAGTTCTCTTATATAATGGTGCAGTCTATCGATCATGAAAGCGAGGAAGAGGGAGAATCCTGCATAAAAAGTAACTGTGAAATCCAAACTGGGAACAGAAGACAGAGAGAAAGTGCAACAGAGATACCCCTCGAGTCAGATGCCTTTCTATGACACACGAAAGACGCCTAAAAGGTTATACTTCTGAACATGCTAAACAATTGCAGCATTAATCTTTAAATAGTGAAATTCTCTAATAAATAACTTCCAATTTGTTATAAGACCATCCTGCAGAGAAACCTCAAAAGGAAAAGATATCAAGTTTATTGCAAACGAGAGAGTACCTCCGAACCGCACTTTTCAAGTGCTTATCAATACACATCTAAATATACTTGGCATTATTATGTGCGGAAAAAAGAGAATCTGTATTGTATCTCCTTTCACTTTTCATATCGGTAAAAGTGAAACGAGTTGAAAAGAATCAATATTTGGACAAAACTACGTCCATGCAGATTATTCCAATTTTCCATCTTTGGTCCATGAAAATTTCCGTTATGATTCTTTTCTGATAACCGAAAAATCCACGAGTAACCAGTGGCACACGGTTTGAAACTCAGTGGATGATGGACCCTCCCCTCTACCCTTCTACAGTTAAACAATAAGCTTTTGTTTGACACATGGTTCAACGTCGTTACTTGCACCTAACAGACACATCACATGCTACGCTCTTACCACTGGACCAAATCCCTAGGAGCCCATTTCCCCTATGATTCTCCTAGTCTTAACTTTTTCTTCCTTTTGATTGAGAATTTTGAAACCAAACAAAGGGAAGAATCAAGCAATACTTTTACTTTAATGGTAAAAGTAGTTCATCCGGACAGTAAAAGCACAAGTGTGACTTCACAGATGCAAGTCTCAGAAAAAACCCAGTTACAATGCCCTGGCTTTAATAACCTGGCAAAACCCCTAACGACTCTAGATTAGAAATAGACAGCCCAGAAAGACCAACACCAAGCCATGACACGTTTGAATGTGTACCTTTTCCTTCGCTTTCATCAGAGTTAAATAATCGGTTGATTTAAACAACAGAAGGCAGAGTAGTGACTTAAACGATGAAAGTAGGTTGAATTTGTGGTTGTGGACTCAAATGGTCATTGCACATATCGAGTAGTTGCTAAATGAAAGCATTAAGCACATTGTAGTGAATGAAAACAAAATTTCTTTTCAGAAACATTCTTCACAATCGGCATGTCTTTGTGAAAAAATAGAAAAATAGATTATTGTATTCAAACATATAACATATAATTAAATACGAAATTATACTAAGTAATCGACAAGGCTATCACAGAAATAGATCAAGCAACCCCCCCACCCCCCAAAAAAAATTAATCAAAGTGAACGAAAGTGGCAGGGAGGAAAACTGGCAACCAGTGAACAGGGGTCAAATAGAGTTTTATCAAGTGGGAGCATAATACATAGATCATTATTGCAATGTGCATCCTTCCTCACCTGTAAACAAATGACTAGATATCAACTTTTCCCCAGTAGTTTATAGAGGAAAGCAGAAAGTAAGCCAGAGGATATCCACTTGGCTGTTCATATTCAACCACAATACCCATATAGTACTCCCTCTGTCTCATTTTATTTGAAGGTGCTTGCCCGGGCACGGAATTTAAGATGTGAAATAAGACTCTTGACGTGTAAGACAAATATATACAAAGTGCCAAGATTATCATTTCGTGGTGGCGAGAGTTCCACATATCTTTTCATTTTCTCCCTCCTTATAAAGAATGAACTTTTATCTTTCTCAAAAAAATAAAAGAATGAACTATTATGTCTAGTGGGTCCAACAAATCATGTCATTAAGCGTAAAAAAGTAATGATCAGCTTAAATAGTTTCTAAAAAGAGAATGATGTCATTCTATTTTGGGACAAACTAAAAAGGAAAGCATGTCACATTAAACGGGACTGAGGGAGTTGTTTTTTTATCTACTCTTAACAAATGACAATGTGCACTTCTGGCCTAGAGCCAGATGGCACAGGTGGAGAAAACCATGCATAACTTTGCGAAGTTGACTGTATAAGAGCAAGATCTCCATCCCCCCATTCAAAACTGCAATATGGGTTTAGCAAAATAGATGAGGCTTCATCCCTTTTTAAGAGCACTAAAGCTATGCGTTATAAATAGTTTTTCTAATACCGTTATGCTTAAAGAAGTGAAGGTCAAATGTATAACATGATGTTATGGAATAGGATAATAAAGACAAAGTTCTTGTGCAAAAAGAACTGTAGCACAAGCACTTAAACTTTTTAGCATGCCCCATTCAATTGTTGGCGTGTACACAGTACTGAACTACTGTGTTAAGTATGTCATTTATCAAAAAGGAATAAAACAGTGTTTAGAGAGGACGGAATAAAATCGCTGTCGTATAATAAGGTTAAAAGGCCGAACTTTAATTCAATGCTTTAAGCTAATTAATTGAAACGGTCAACCTCATTCAGATTAATTAGACCTTAGTTTAGTATAGACTAACCAAGTGAAATTAAATGCATAAGCTTTGTCGTGAATAAATAAACCAAAGAGCTCTATTCTAAGTCAACCACTGATGTTTAGTCAAATTTCAGAAGCAACAAATATACATGTAAACAATATTCAAATCATTGAGTTAAGAACTTGCACGGATAAGGAAGGAGAACTGCTTTGCAGTTTATAAATGTAACAATTCAGACAACAATGCAGCAAAACAGATGTAACAGAAAATAAAAATAAAAAGAAGAGAATCTTATAAGAGGCAATTGAATTTTAAAAACAGAACAAGAGGAAGGTTTATTGTACAGGTTGATGCACTTCTACATACATGTGCGTGTATATTTAATATGTATGTATATATATAGTTTGAGTCTGAGATAGCAGTGCACATTCACCCAATGCTTGTATGTTGGATAATCGATCCAGCATACAAGCAGTGGGTGTACGTGCACTGCATGTGTTATTAAATCCATCATTTTGTTGCATAAAGTGATGAAGCAAGGTGTTATGGTTCATGGGTGAAGCCTTACGCTTTAGGAAGTGTATGCTTACAACAATAACGAGCCTAAACTGAACTAATGAAGCTAAGTTTACTAAAATAGTGTAATTGTAATATTACAATAAAGAAATCAAGAATAGGATGAATTGGATAAATATGCAAACCCCATATATTGACTACAGTTGAAAATGTCTTATCACTAAAATTTTCATTTATCCGTGATCTAGGCATCCAAAAAGTGATCCCGACAAGAAGTGGTTGGTTCTCTAAATCTCAACTTTGAGGAGTTCGATTAATATGTGGATTATTGCATATTGGATGTTGAAATTGGTTATTTTAATTTTAGTTTAATTATTATAGTACTAAACTTATATGTTTATGGTACTTTTAATCCTCTACCAAAATTTATAGGGTAGAAAGTCTCTAACGTCTCTCTCATCTCATCTCTCTAATGTCCCTATCACTGGACCTTCGGCAACCACCGAACCAGGTAATACCCCCACCCTACCCCACCCTTGTCTTCTTTTCCTGTCTTTCTCCTTCCTGCTTTCTTCTTCTTTCCCGTTACTTCCCCTTTCTTTCTTGTTCTTCTTGTCTTCTTGCCCCCACCCCCTTCTTGTCTTTGAGATTCACGGTTTATTAAGAAGGAATTAATTGAAGTAGAGACGGTATATGGGAAATTGATGTGGTATTAATGGGATTGTTGCCGCTGCCCAAAAAGGTGAAATCATTTCGAGTCTTTTTCGATTTGCGTTTTTTACTGGAATTAAGCAATCTGTCTTTGGTTGATTTTATTTTGCTGGGTCACTAATTGGGTCGCTTGATATCTCATTTCTTGGCCTACTTTTGGCTGAAGATTGTCTTTTATTTTACTGTTAATTTCAGTTTGCACAGTGTGTTTTGAGTTGTTGTCATCTGCTTTTGGATTTCACTCAAAATCAATTTGTTTCTTCAGGTATAGTACCTTTTTTAAAAATAATTTCTCATTTATTTTCCTTTTGTTCTTTCCAGATTTGATTTATTTTCCAGATTCCAGATTTGATTTATTTTTCTTGAGGGTATAGTTTTGATCTGTGAATTTTGTTGTACCACGGTAGAACTTGGTGAATTTTGTGTAGTTCTTTGTTTTTCCCTACATTTCCCCTACTACTATCAGGGCTACACCAGTGGTAGCGGTGACAGCCCTCTTTTTGGTTTTTGGGTCGAGGTTTTTCTGTGTTTTCAGGAAAATTCTCGAAGTGTTGGAGACAAGTTGGGCGCACGAGCACTAGCAAAGGAGAGTAACCTGGACGGGCGTCAGCAAAGGGTGGTGGGAAGCAGTGTGTGAGCGTACAACTACATCGAGTACAACAAATCAACACAGGTTTGGTTCTCGGGAGTTGGTACCTCTCGTTCTCTTTTGGTGTTAGCTAAATTGATGTTACTTTAGTTCACAATAGTTCTGTTCAATCATTCTACTAGTGTACTAGTAGTCACTTGTTTCCTTCTAGTTTGATTCGTTGTCCG